TTTTGTCTTTTGATAGGTGCTCTTCATAGTATTTTGGCTTGCTTAAATATGCTTTTACACTTGACTTGCTAGAGTTTATCCTCCTTTCTATTTTCTTCTGTCTTCCAATTTTTAAAGAATTTTTTTTGTCTCTGACTGCCTCTTTTATGCTGCTGTCGTAGGGCATTTTCCTTGGTCCTCTGACAGTTATATTATTATCAACAGTATTATTATTAGTAGTATTAATAAATAATAATAATAATAAATAATTGGGGACATACATTTGAGCCTCTATTATGGTGTTATTAAAAGGCTTCCATTCATCTTGAAGACATTTCAATCTTGTGATTGTTTCCCTTAATTTCAATGTAATTTGTTTGCAATTTCCCTTTTTGAAATTAAATGCTACTGTGGCAGGTTGTTTTGATATCGCCTCTTCCCCCAAGAATATTAACTTCAACTATAGTTCCATTTTGGACAATTTCCTGTGAACCACTTAAGACAAAAATAAATATGCCTCTCTTGTGGCTTCCAGGACCAACTCTTAAGAAGGAGCCAGTAATGGTGACTAGAAATTTTTCTCTGTACCCCATCCTCAGATGACATATTCCCAATAAATGTTTATAGTTATAATCCTCCATTAATCTTGAGTTTTCTTGTTTTGTAGTTTCTTTTATCTCCCTGATCATGTCACAATCACCATCACCATCCTGGTCAGATGGTCGGTAGTATATTTCTACTGCTGTGCCTTTATTATTCAAGTATGGATTTTCTATCTATAGCCATTCTATGGTACAACTGGGGTAATTTAAGATGTTTACTATATTTGACTCTATGCTTTCTTTCCCATGTAGTGCCCCTTCCCCACCAGCATGACCTAAGCTGTCATTTCTGTATACTGTATTTTATAACATAATATTACCATGACCCATTGATTATCATCATTCACCAAGTTTCTATGATATCTATAATATCAATATCCTCATTTAATATCTTGCACTCTAGTTCACTCATCTTAGTATTTAGAATTCTAGTGTTCATGTACAACAGGGTTACTCAACATGCGGCCCACGGTGCAGCTTGGGTTTACGCAGGGCTCAACATGCGGCCCACAGGTGGGAGGGATCCTTTGAACATGGCCTCCACTGGGAACACACTCCACAATGGCAAGTCAATATAATGGTCTTCTGTTTATATGCATTTTAATAGTTAAATTCCTGGACTGTCATTGCTCATTAAAATTGCTGTCATATGGGTGGAAATCGGATAAATATTGCATTTTATTAATATAAGCAGAACTGACTTAAAGCGGGCCTGTGTGTTGTATAGTCTTGCCTTAATCCTTATGTCCATGCCCGTCAATGTGAAAGAAGCTATTTACATATATATATGCATGTATATGCAACCACACTTAAGTTGCGGCCCTCGGCATGTGCTGTGAGTATCATTGTGGTCCCTGGGGCTTCCAAAGTTGAGTAGCCCTGGTGTACAAGTACTTATGAAATCTGTCAATATTTAGCTCTTCCTTCATGTGATGTAAGTTAGTGGAACTCTTTTTTTCTTTGCTCCTTTTCAGTTCCTACTTATATTTTATTAATTTCTATCTTCTCATGTATATTAGAATAAAAGATGTCTCTCTCCAAACCATGTGCTCTTTTACACCTGTCAGCTTTCCCCCAGAACTCAGTTCTAAAACTTCTCTACAAACTTTTGAACTTTATATGTCAGCATTCTGGTCCTGTTTTGGTTTAGGTATAGCCTCTCCTTCCTGTATGGGCTCTTCCGTTCCCCAAAGTATCCCCAGTTCCCAATAAACCTAAATTCCTCCTCCAGATACAAGTCATTGAGGCCTTGCTATTCTGCCTAACTGGCTTTGCATGTGGAATTGGAAGCATTTCAGAGAATTCTACCATGGAGATCCTCATCTTTCAGCTATCTCTTACTTAGTACCTTAAT